CTAGTTACTAATTATCGAATTTGCCAAGAATGGTTCTCAGTACAAACTTAGTCACAATGATTCAACTGTTCCATTGATTCAGGAAGTGACTCTCCAACATCTTGACAAGGACATTTCCAACTCAAATCTAAGACTATTCCTTTACTCCATGGAATGAAGGTTGGTTGAAGCCTGTGATATGAATTCCTTGCAACTCAAACAACTACAAGAAGTCTTAGGGCAGTTTAGGACTATCTTTGCCTTACCTATTGCACTACCACCTAGTAGGGTTCACAATCATCAGATTCCACTAATTCTTGGATCTAAACCCCTTAGCATAAGACCCTACCACTATGGCCCTTTATAAAGGACTGAAATTGAGAAGGCAGTCCAAGAACTACTTAAGGCAGGTTTTATCAGGCTAAGTCATAGTCTTTTCTCTTGTCTAGTTCTCCTTGTGAAGAAAAAAGAAGGAACCTTCATAATGTGTATGGATTAAGCAGAACTTAATGCCATAACAATCAAGGACAAGTACCCTATTCCTTTGATTGATGACCTCTTAGATGAATTACGTAGTGCTAGGTTTTTCTTTAAGCTTAATTTAAGGTCAGGTTATCATCAAAATTTGATGCATCCTCAAGATATTGATAAGACTACATTCAAAACCCATGAAGGTCACTATTAGTTTCTAGTGATGCCTTTTGGGCTCACTAATGCCTTAGCAACCTTCCAAAGTCTCATGAATGATATATTGAGACCTTATTTCAAGAAATTCATTCTTGTGTTTTTCGATGACATACTAGTTTATAGAAAGACTTGGGAAGATCATCTATTGCATCTTAAAATGGCATTTGCAGCAGCACCAACTTTATGTTAAAAAGCAGAAATGTGCTTTTGGATATAGTAGAGTGGAGTATTTGGGCCATGTCATATCGAGCAAAGGTGTGGAGGTTGATCTCTCCAAAATTCAGGCTATACTGGAATGGCCTAAGCCTAATACAGTGAAAGAGTTGAGAGGTTTCCCTGGTCTCACAGGTTATTACAGAAAATTTGTGCCGAGTTTTGGCAAAATTTGCCAACCACTCTATCACATAACTAAGAATGAGGGATTTGTGTGGACTGCAGAAGTTGAAGAAGCTTTCCAGAAGCTCAAGGATATTATGACCTCCTCACAGGTCATAGCTTTACCAAATTTTACATTGCCATTTGAGTTGGAATGTGATGCCTCTGATACTGGGATTGGTGCAGTTTTGCAGCAACAAGGGAGACCAATTGCATTTACTAGTCGAGCCTTGGGACCTAAGAATCAATCTCTCTCCACCTATAAGAGAGCACTCATTGCAATTGTCTATGCTGTCAAGAATGGTAGTCCTATCTACAAGGTAGGCACTTCATAATCAAGACTGATCACTGTAGTTTAAAATACTTCCTTGACCAAAGGGCTCACACATCATTCCAACAAAAGTGGGTGTCTAAATTGATGGGGTTTGATTATGAAATCCACTCACTTTATAATCAAGACTCATCACTGTAGTTTAAAATACTTCCTTGACCAAAGGGCTCACACATCATTGCAACAGAAGTGGGTATCTAAATTGATGGGGTTTGATTATGAAATCCATTCACTTCATAATCAAGACTCATCACTGTAGTTTAAAATACTTCATTGACCATAGGGCTAACACATCATTCCAACAGAAGTGGTGTCTAAATTGATGGGGTTTGATTATGAAATCCACTTTGAGAAAGATGCTAATAACATAGTTGCTGATGCTCTTTCTAGAAGACAGGACACATATCTTAATACTCAATTCTCTAAGAGAATCAATGAACCATCTATGAGTTGTCAGGCTATCTTTTACCCCTATTTTGGGTGGTTAGACGAGTTAAGATGGTATAATGAAGAAGATGCTTGCATCAAGGAAAGATTGGCGGAGATTACATATCATGGGAAATGAGTAGCCAGTGGTTCTAAGTTAGCCCATTATCATGTTGACAATGGCTTACTAAAGTACAAGTCCAGAATAGTTCTCAGGTCCGATTGCACTTGGAAGGCTAGGCTTTTAGATGAATACCATTCAACACCTACAGCAGGTCACTAAGCGGTTTTGAAGACCTACCAAAGGCTAAAAAAGGGTTTTTATTGGCCAGGTATGAAGAGTGACATTAAAACCTACATCTCAGAGTGTAAAACTTGCCAACAAAACAAGTATGAAACTCTATCTCCTCCGGGTCTAATTCAACCTTTGCCAATCCCTCAAAAAATTTGGACTGATATAAGTATGAACTTCATTGTAGGGTTACACCCTTGGAAAGGGAAAACTATCATTCTAGTGGTAGTGGATAGGTTGACTAAGTATGCTCATTTCTTAGCTTTAGTTCATCCCTACACTGCCTTAACTGTTGCTCAGTTGTTTGTTGACAACATATTTAAGCTACATGGAATGCCATCCACAATTGTGAGTGACAGAGATCCATTGTTTTTAAGCTCTTTTTGGAAGGAGTTCTTTAAGTTGCAAGGATCCTAACTTTGCATGAGCTTTGGGTACCATCCTCAGAGTGATGGACAAACTGAGGTGGTCAATAGAGGTGTTGAGACTTACCTGAGGTGCTTTGTGGGAAATAAGCCTAAAGATTAGGTTAAATGGTTACAATGGGCCGAATGGAATTATAACACTTTCTATCATACATTTTCAAAATTCACTCTATTTGAATTGGTATACGGATATCCTCCTCCTCATGTTATTCCCTATGAGTAAGGCACTACAAAACTGGACTCTGTGGAATAAGAATTGATTGAGAGATATAAGGTTCTTACTATACTCAAGTTTAACTTAGCAATGGCTCAAAATAGAATGGCAATTCAAGCAAACAAGAAGAGAACTGAGAGAGAGTTTTATGTTGGTAACTTAGTCTATCTCAAGTTGCTGCCATATCAGTTACAAACATTGGCTTCACATGTTCATCACAAATTGCACCCTTAATACTATAGCTCTTATGAAGTGTTAGAGAGAGTGGGACCTGTTGCTTACAAGCTTAAACTGCCTGAAGGAACAAAAATTCATTCATTTTTTCATGTCAGCTGCCTCAAGAGGCACATGGGAAATGTGGATCTACCAGTAATAACATTGCCACCCTTGACAGATGCAGTTTAAATGCAAGATTCTCACCCCACATATGCACCTTTGGCAATACTCGCCAGAAGAATTTACAAGAAAAGAGACAAGGTAGGTGTTCAGTTACTAGTACAGTGGGTCTGGCAAGAAGAGAGCACATCTACTTGGGAGGATTATGATGACATTCATGCTAAGTTCCCAGAATTTCAACTTTGAACCTTGTGGATAAGGTTGATTTTAAGGAGGGAGTGATGTTAGGAAATGCATTTTATTATTTCTATTTGTAATTCCAGTTGTTAAAAGGGTTTATCCTTTAGTGTGTTATTTATGTAAAGAAATGCTGAGCTAGTATTTCTGAGTGGAGAGACTATTTAAAGGGAGCAATGGTTGTGTAGCTTCTCTAATGGATATATCAGTTTTATTAAATAAAAAATAGGCACGAGTTCCTCACTCGTCGTCTCCCTTTCTATTTCTTCCAATTCTCCATTGTTGTACTATCTAGGTTGAGCAGGGTCTTATCACTATTTGCCTCCATTGACTCGTGATACATCTCGTGATCATGAACTTAGGTCCCCTGTTGCTTAGCTTTTGCGTGACGTAGCTTACTTTCATTGTTGCGCAAAGATAGGTGTGCGACGTAGGTTATTGTCGTTGCGCAAAGCCCTTTTGCATGACGTATATTACGCCATTGTCACGCAAATTTATTGTTATTTTTATTTTATTTTTTGACAATATATTTTTAATTTAATTTTATAAATATTTTAATTAAATTATAAACAATAATTAATAAACCAAGAAAAAGTATTTAATTATAAAATATATGAAAATGTACGTATAAGTTGTTCGATTAGAAAAAGAAAACTACAACAAATAGTCGTCCGGGTTTGATGCATTAGGCTACTAGGTATCGACTAGGCGAAGCCCTTGGGTGGTCGAAGGTGGAGCAAGATTAGGTGCTGCCATCAGGATTTGGAAGTTGGACAGCTCGAAGGCCCGTAAGATCATGCTCATCTTCTTGTCTTGGGCCACATTTTGGTCTTTAGTCTAGGCTTTTTGGGCTGCATTCTGGGCTTTTTGGCCCACAATCTTATCTTTCAAGGTTGCCACTTCCTTTGTCAGGGTGACGACTTGTCTTGTGGTCGGTCTGGAAGAGGAGCCACCCGTCTCGCGAACCTACGCCTTCCCTATCCCCCGAACAACGATGCCATGACAACGACCGAGCATCTAATCTAGGGTCTCAGTCAGGATCTGAAGACCGGCATCCTCAAGTATAGTAACGTCCCAAACTGCAACATCCATACAATTTTTGAACCATAAAAATATAACATTAGAGACCCATCTATTCAATTTAAAATGTTTACACTAGTGGTTTTCTTTTTAAGGTTTTCATTCAATTTCACGAGTGCATGAGTGCGCATACTGTTTGGCGTGAAACATTACTGCGTTTCTTTCCAGAAAATTACACGACAGACCAACCGCGTCTTGCATAGGGTCTTTGCTCAACGGAGAACTATAACATTGTGCAGAAACCATTTTTGCGACCAAAAACCATTTGTGCGACGCATTGGTTGGTCCATCGCGCAAAATCCCTTTGCACGATGCATTGGTTGGTTTGTCGCGCAAAAACCCTTTGGTCGACACATTTGGTCCGTCGGGCAATTTTCCGGCGCCAAACTAGGAGTTTACCACCTTTTTTCCAAATATTGCGCGACAAATGTGTACCTTTGTCGCGCTAAAACATTTTGCACGATGGAACACTTCATCTCCTAATGGCCCGTTGCGCAAAAATTTCATTGCGTGATGCTTCTTTGTCAACGTTGCGCGAAACGTTTTTGCTCGACGTAATATACTTCGTCACGCAAGTGTGTTTTTTGTACTAGTGAGAACTTGTAACATGATCAAATTAAAGAGTTCTTCTTCAGTCCAAATTAAATCATCAAAAACAATTTAGATTTTGAGCATGAAGGGCTGAAATATGTGCAGCCTCTTCCCGCGGAAACGATCACGAATTTTTCTCTTGCTATAACAAAGGTTAAAGCAGACTTCATTTTCTTGCTCCCATGTTTGTCACTCAACTAGCTTTTCTTTATCACTTTCATCATCTGCTTTTAGTTTTGAAGTGTTCAATTTTGATTCGTGATTTCCGTCTTGATGGATTCCAGGGAAGGATCCAATCTGATCTTTATGGTTCACCATGCTGCACATTCTTGTTAGCTGAAGTGATTTTCTGTATGCCATTATCCTTATGCTCTTCATGTGTTGTCTGATAAGATGACTCTTCCGCCTTGACGTAAACTTCATCACTATCTTTTCTCCACAGCAGCAAGTACAGCCCAAGGATGACAATGAAGACCCCTACTATGCTGAACAAACCACACATGAAATTTTAGACAAATCCAGGATTGTAACACAACGTGGTGGTGTACGGTCACATAATGTGGTTCACTGATGTGCATCATACAAAGGTTTTGTTTTGGATACGGAGGAAAATTGGCATAGTCTATTCTCTTAATTGGGTACCACTTAGTTAAACTCTAGATTACATGAGATTCTCAGCAAAATCATATTAGATTACATAAGTAAAACAAAAAAGAAATTACCTGCCAGTATAAAGTCTTTCACCCAGGACAAAGTAAGCTAAAACAGCCACCAAAATTGTTGAAACAGGATTAAACATGGTCACAAAAACTGGTCTTTTCTCTTCTGTTCACCATAGTTGAATCACCACTGGGCCATGCACACCACATTAGATTAGTCCTACCAATAACTATTTAGTTTTAAGTTTTTAGTAAACATTTTATGTATAGCATTTCACGTACATTTCTTCCACCTCCCTCCCATCTTCTATCTCCATCTAAAACAATGAAAACTAAAAACCAAAATGGTACAAAATGGGTCTAATTTCACGGTCGTTTTCAGAAAATCCCGGTACTTGCAACATATAATATCGACCAGAGGTGAATGTTGAATCCGATTGTCCAAGCAGCTCGTCTATGTTCTATACACACGGTGAAGACAGCCGTTCTGCCACTATAAAGCTCATCCATGTAGTCAATGATAGTTGTGCAGGATATCTTTTCAATGTGATTGCCTACAATAAGTTTAACTTTTCAGAAAATTATTTGCATACATCACATGCCAACATCACCAATATAAATTATCAGAAATTCTATATATAGTCTCACTTATATGCAGGGATTCTGTAATGTGGGTTAACGACAAATAAACAAATTGCAGTTAACGGGTGAATGTTGTATTCAGGTGGTTGAGAGGGTTGAGATTGTGATCAATATGTGCGCTCGGCCACATATTCTTCGAATAACTACACTTTTAAAATTTTAGGTTAGAGCATTGTTATTAGCACTCCAAAAAAGTCATTTTACACTCTTTAGCTTATTTTTTCACAGCTTACTTTTAAAATTTTAGGTCAGAGAAAATATGATAACTTTTTTGGAGAGACAATAACATCTCACTTTCAGTTAACTTCATTACTCCATTAGAAAACAATTCGACATATATATGTATATTTGTAAGTACAGTTTTGAGTAAGGGGTGAAACCTGCATGATGTACCATGCCGACCATGTTATGCAGCTTGCAACAGTTAGTGTAGAACCCTTCAACCAGTTCTCATGGATGGAGGATTTTCCTTCAACATGGAATAGTGCAGGCCATAAATTTCTAATACTAGGCCCCTTGTACAATGTCATGGTCATCACACCAGCCAAGGAGAATAGGGTACCGAAAACTTTTGCTAACCCTCGAGAATTTTGAAGGTAAAGAACCTCCAACCTGAAAAAGTAATCTATATAGGATAAAATGTGAATTAATGCCTTGGATTTATATATGGATAAGTAGGCTTACTAACATCAGTACAACTGCAATTACAAAGGTTAGGGAAGCTATGGTGTTGACTATTGATGCAAGGAAGGTCGGAGAGGTGTATCTTAAGCTTGCAAAGTACATGTTTAATGTCAAACCCACCCTATAACCATTGGAAAGGAAGAAGGAAAAAGTGAGCTTAATTAGCGTTTTAATTTAAGTCTTGAACAGAAGCATATATGGGTTCTAATTCTACATGTTCTTTTTCTCAAAAATTCTACATGTTCTTACCCCAGAAAAGAAAGTAAAAAGAGTTGCAAGAAAAGAGCAAATGTGAGCTTTGGTCTCTCTTTTCTGCAGGAGGAGGGTAAAAGATTCACAAATTAACATGTATGAAGAATCGGAAAATATTTTATTATCAGACAGTCTAACATATTTTGTTAGGCTATCAGACTAAAAAATGTTGCCGTGTGCAAGTATAAATGCAACTTTACACACATACAGATACCTTTCAAGAAAATAAGCAAAAGGGAGCATCACTATGCCAGACACAATATGTCGATAAGTTATGTAGACGTGAGGGTTCATCCCATGATTGAAGGACGCTTCAGTTATAAAATACAGAAATGTATATCCCATCTGTGCTAAAAGCATGAGGAAGTGTGGCTTGAACTTCCTGTATAGTCCCTTGAGGTTACTACTACGTAACTCCTGTGCCATAACCTCCTCCGGTTGGCGGCTGCCTTTCTTCCTTCTTCTATTTCAATTCTAGACAAGCTGGAGAAGCATATCATATAAGTTCATATAGGGCATGATGGACCTGATTCTTGTTTCATGTTGACAGTATGAGGTTCTTGATTAATCTACTGGCTTAAGTCTATAGAATAGATACGTGGAATAGTATAAGATATTCGATCCCATGTTTGCTCAAATGGCTAATATATATTAATCCAATATTATTTCAAGATTAAGTAACTTCTAAGTTCCAATTAGAGAAGATTTTTATGTATCATAAAGACTTTTCCATCATTCTGTGATTTTGTGTATTCTGTCCTGTGAAAGTAGCTTTTTGTCTGCCTATTCCTTTTCATTGCAGCCATTCGGAATATGACTTTTGCATCATTAATTTTGGGGAACCATTAGAGAATCTCATTAGCAATGAGAACTTTATTATTGATTTGATTGCAAATAATCATGTATTTATCTATTTCATAAAATTGGTCACCTATATTTTACATATTTTGTTATGGGAGGCTACTATCCTTCTCAGTTGGACCTTCTTGGTTCTCATTCTCATTCTGCAATGTTGCACAAAGATTGGAACCACTTACTTTCTAGTTCACCCTTTAATCATCAATTTTACAAAATTTTAACCAAATCAAAAATCGTTAAACTCAATTAATGTTGTTTAGTTTTTATGTATATGACTCAATAGCATAGTGCGATTCAATACTATGGTCTAGTGAATGACGAGTTCATTACCAATTCATTGTATAATGAATAATAAAAATAAAATTCAATAATATGGTTTATCTATTTATTGGATAATCATTAGATGATTAAACGATTTTTGGATTTGATTGGTATCTTGCAAATTTGATCATTGAAGGCTGACCTATAAAATAGACGGTTCTAATCATTGTACAATATTATTCATTCTGTAGGATAGAAGGAAGAGCCCTAAGAGTAGAATAAGAAGGTTACTAGTATTCCTCATTATATTCACTAAACATCACAAGTCAAGGATTTTTTTTTAGTAGGTCCTTAGTGACATTCATATCATGATTGTGTCGAGCCATGCTGCTCTCCACGAGCGCTATTTCAACTGTTGTACCATTGTACAAGACTCTTGCTCAAATGCAAGGACGGAGCTAGAAATGTTTTTGACTGGGGGCGTCCTAAAACAACCAAGTAAAATAATGGGTGTTAAGTTGTTGAGGGTCAGGTACAATGAAAAATCTCTAAATTAAAAAGTTAAATTTTAAATAGTAATGTCACAAACGAATGGATGAAGTAAATTCATATAAAATACTTTGCAGAGTAAATTTTTTATATCAAGTTATGATACTTTATCGGTTGAATCCAATCTATTTATGAAACCCCCAGTTCAATTGAGTTTGATTTAGGTTAGAAAACGTGGAATATTCAGAACCAACATCAAAAAATTAATTGTTGTTTTAATTGTCATGACAATTTTTGTCATCGCCCAAAAATCTGAGTGGGGGCGGATGCCCCCTCTGGGCCTTAGGTAGCTCCGCCCTTGCTCAAATGGTGGATATGCAAGTATGATAACTTATATGCATTTCTATATCTCCATCCTAGGAGTACAACAGTATATCCCACTTCAATTTATTTGAATTCTGCCACTTAGCATTATGGTCTAGTGGTATCTCTCTTCACTTATAAATGAGAGGTCTTAAATTCGATTCTCGTCAAAGGTGAAGTTGAACTACATTATTATGGCAAACCCATCATAAGACTTAGCTCACTCCTCCATCTCTTAGTGTAAATACTATCGTTTGTTAAAAAAAAAATTCATTGGAATTCTATGACCTCATATGACGCTGGTAGGGTATATTAACATGAGACATGTGAGTTGTTCTTGTTCTTAGTTTGAGGAACTCTTTTTTGTTTTTGTTGAACATTGGTTAGAGGAAGATGGTCAAAATTTTACTATGTTCCGATTTATAATATCTACTGGATAATTGAAAATTAGATGTGCAGCGAAAAATTCAACAATTAAAAGGAAATAATTTCAGAGAGCTATGGGCTCATGTGGATTTTGGTATAAAATAATTAACATACTTCAAGTAGGATCCAGCATCAAGTAGACACACTAGCATGAGGAGTGAGGCGAGGACCACTCATACTGGATGGATTTGTGTTTATATGTGTTTTATACTATTTAAACTTCTTTGTTTTGAAAGGAAAGAAAAGACACCCATGCAATATTATTCCCTTGAAGCATCTACACAAAAGCTGCGCAAGACTTGGCATATGCTATTTTAAAAAAAAAAAACTAATTAATATATACTAGACTACTAGTAAGATGCCACACCAATAATACAATTTTTTTTATTGAAGTTTTTGTATATATTTTGAAATCTGTTTCTCAACAGAGTGTGACACATGGTGCATAAGATTTTTCTTTTAATGTTTTCCCATGTTGCAGTCATGGAGGATCTGTTGAGAATGCATTCCACGTTAATGAAAAGAAGAACTTTGCATGTTTTTATAAGTAGTTGGGCTATTTCCCATATTACTGTTGACCCTAGAAACTACCAAGCCTACGTGGCGCGCATGCCGAGTAATCTATAAGCTAACTACGTCCTTCGGTGAATGCGGGGCGTGCCAACTCGTCGGCCGAGCTCGGCCGAGGAGTAAGTTTGTTGATGTTGCGTTGGGTGCGCGGTTGACTTCTGCGTCTTGCGATTGCGACCGAGGAAGGAACACGTCTCGGCCTCTTGGGTTCTCGAACCTGAAGACAAGGCTACTATTCTTACGAAGTTCACAAATCGTCGTCGTCGGATTCGGTCACAGTGATGTTATTCGTCAGAGTAAACTCACGCCAAATCGACACCAAAGTATAGGGACACAAATACTCAAAGCGAATATAGGTCTTAATCGTGAACGTGGTTCGGCCGTTTGAATGCCGAACTCTAAATCCCACTTGAGAGTATCCAATCATAAAACAACTCGGCGTGCAATGCACCGAGCTCAGTAAACTGTAACACCTCACTTTGCCGAGAAGGCTAATGAGATGACCTCAATCAATAAGGATTTGAAAATCCTTCTCGACCGAGACTTGGATAGGTAACCAACCGTCCTCGCCGCAGTGCTGTTGATGCCAACGGAAGATGCTGCGAGATCGGCTGATTCTACGGCGACAGAGCTATTTATGCCGACTTAAGATATCATCGGTTACTTTCACAGTGTTGTTGATGCCAACGGAAGATGTGTCAGCGAAAAGAGAAAATAAAAATCTCAAAGTTGTTAAGAGAATTTGCGCAGAGCAATTGTGTGTTGAATTGGAGGGCTTTGAATGATGCCACTACCTATGTATTTATAGTGGCTGTAAGCCCATTGGATGATGTGTTGGCCTTACCAACACTCCGTCTCACGAGTCGTATGCGCAGATGCCTCTACGAAATCCTATAAAGAATTGCTATTCAAATACGCTTCCACCCATCACCTGGTCGCTCATGCATCTTTATCCTGAACCAAAATATATGATGAGGCCACGCGCTTGATGAGATATATTCAAT